GGACTCGTCCCCCCGAGGACATGGACGGCTCGAAGAAGAAGCGGCGGTACTCGCGGTAGGACACGTCCCGTTGGCGTGGAACGTGATGTGTCCTTCTGGATCCGTTTCCTGTGGGTGACAACGGGATGTCACACATCTGGACAGCTGCATGAGGGCGCGTTGGACGTCGACGTCGTCGTCACCTGTAGACGAAGGGGCCCCTCTGCTCCACCATGGGCGTCTCCCCGGCCAGCACCTCCTTGGGGTTGAGGACGTGGAAGAAGTAGACGGACATGAAGAAGGGCACCGGGACGTCCTTCCACATGGTGTAGGACACCTCGTTCTTCGGGTCGATCACCGTGTTCTGAAAAGTCACACTTTGGTTTTTGGACGTTTTTGCATATCGAGCGTTTCGCTCTGAAAGTGAAAAAGCTGAGAGGCAGTAAACGTTTTCGTGGATGAACAGATAACAAACGCGTTTACAGGCACAATTAGATTCACGGCATCTGATCAAGAAACACAGGCCGATAATCAAATGGGAGGAAAGGTCATGTGACTTCAGATGTTTACAAGCAAATAAAGACAAACAAACAAATCTCCGTAAACTACAAACGTTTCAGTATTAATACAAGTGGGAAATACTTCAGTTAACTGGGAGTATTAAAAGTAAAAATACCACAGAAAAAAAATACGTTACACAAGTAAAAGTACTCGTTATGCAGAGACGCTTCTTTTGAGAGTTATAGTATTAAATATTATGTTCTAATATACAAAGTAGAAAACTTAGTCTCTAAGTTCAAACTAGTAGTTGTATACTTTGTATATTAGTGTAGTATAGCAAGTTGAACTATGTCGGTATTGTACTGATGTACTTTAGTGTGTTTAAGTTGTGTTTTGTCATGACGTATGAAGTAATAAATACTGCTGTTCTGGATATTATATTATAAATTATTAATCGATTAGTGGATCGATTATTTGCTTCCTTTAATAAACGAACATTTAGCTTATTTTTCTCTTATTAAACTGAACAACTTTTTGAACTGATTTACTTTTTTAAAAGACATTTTAAAGACTTTAAAAAACCGATGGCGACTTTTGCTTACAGACAATGGATCGATCAATATGAACATTGATTTTCCATCAACAGCGGCTCTGTTACGTCACAAGCCGCCTCGCTGGAGCGCGTAATCACTCATCAGCCGTGAATCCTTATCGATTATTGTCCCGCTCACGTGCCTCCGAGACCTTCGGCTGTGAGGATTATCGATCACACGATCAGCACGTTGACCCCCCCGCTTACCTTCACCACCTGGTCGTCGATGATGATCGGCCCCACAAAGGTGAGGACAGTCCCGAAGAACACCATGAGGACCCCGGACACTACGAACCCCACCGCCACGGCGGCTCTATTGATCCCCATGACGGACAGCTGTCAATCAGCGCGGCTAGCCGGCTAGCTGGAGTTAGCTGTGGCGCTAGCTAGCGGCTAAAGACTACGAACCAGTCCCGGACCTGCGCTCCGTCCCCCCGCAGCGCGTGCTCAAGGTTCCGCGCGGCTTCAACGGGCTCCTCATCGATGAAGGTGATCGGCCGATGTCGTGGCTTTATTTATACTCGGCTGGCCGCGCCTCCGCCCGCGCGGAGCATTGTGGGAAATGTGGTCAGCGCGTCTTGAGCAATCGCCGAGATTCAAACGTTTTACGCAACAGGGGTGAAGACGTTTAATGTAAACTATGAATACAATCATATATATGTATATGTATATATATATATATATATATTTATATATGTATATGCATATATATACATATATATATATATATATATATATACATGTGATTGTACATATATAAATGACGTGTGTGTAGTGTGGTGTAGTATAGAATAGATACTTTTAGAAAATCGTTATTCAACCAGAATATCCGGATCTGGACAGCAGATTCTATCCTCTGCTGTTGGTTTAAACCTTCACAGCTCTTTACATAAAGAAAACCCGCTGATTTGAGGGATTATGAGCTACGTTTGTCTGCATGAACGGAGGTTACGTGAATGTTTCCAGCATAGGGGTCGGGCCCCTCTAAACGGTCACTAGATGCATCTCAGGGGTCGGGGCATTTAATGGGAGGGAAGAAGAATACGTTAGGACACAAAGATGTGTATTCTCGTTGTTTCTAGTATTGGATCATTTAATCTCTGATGAACCTGCTGAAAACGTCTGAAAAGTGGCTTTGTGATGCTTTCATGAGGATAAAGGTTGTCGATCACTGGTTCAATCTTTACCAAAATGCCGTATTTTAAAAGCAGTCTTAAACTGAAATGTATAGATGTAAACATACAATTCTTTGCTCTTTTATAAGCATAAAGAAACATTACTCATTGAGTATACTCAAGTACAAGTGAAAGTTCCTTAAAACTACTTCCGTCACAGATGACAACACAAATATACCTTCCAGCTAAAAATTAGTTTTGGGGGGAAAATCAACTCAGGATTAAGACATGTTCCGTTTTTTGTTCCTTTCTTTTCAATGGCGTTGAAAGATGTGCTAAATTTGACACGTAAAAGTATTTTAAAGTGTAAATGTGAAATCAATTTAGAAAAATGAAATTGTTGTAAAGAAACCTCCAACCCCCCTGAAATGAAGCATCGGAAGACTTACTTTAATCACTTGATCTTTCATCACCATCGGCCCCACAATGAGAAAAAACACCCCGGAGACCACCGTCAGAGCCCCCGCCACTATGAATCCCACCGCCACCCTGGGCTTATTGATCGCCATGGCAATAAGAAGTAAGAAATCTCTCCTTCAAGCTGAGGCGCTTCGAGGTCCGATGGGGAACGGTGATGGATGCGGAGGAGTCAGGCAGGCGGGTGTGTTTATACTCTGTAGACCCCCCCAACGCCCACACACTGGGGAGGGGCGGGTGCGTGATAGAAAGCATCCTGTTTTATACATTCATGTTAATTCGTGCAGTCACATTTCAGTCAGATGACTTGATACTCATACGCTTATTTTAAGAGGTTTTCCTCAGCAGGACAAAATAACGCTGACGGTGTTTATCGATATAAATACAGAAAGCGTGAGTCATCGTATAAGAAGAAGCTAGAAATTAAGTTTCAGATGCGGTTATGTATATTTAAAGTTTTATTCTTCTACCAACAACACTCAGTGGAGCTCAAAAAGTGGATTAATCCGCCGTTAAAAATAGTCCCCTGGAAGCACAGAAACGTTTGTTCATGAAAAACTTCAGAGAGCAAAGTGAAAGTTTTGTATTTGTGTTTTTAAGGATGTACGTTGGCAGAAGGTTTCCCTGGACCCTGGTCTCTCTTATCAGTCAGGACTGAGGAGACGTTGACTTGTCTGATCAAAAGAGACGACTAAACGTCCTCACTAGGATCCTCCGGCGGATCCTACGTGCCGCCTTTGTCCATCACGCTCACTTGCTCATATTTCAACAACCAGAGCTTAGTTGACCTGCTTAATGCTATTTATCCCTGAGAAGTGGAGCCCACACCACCAACACCATCTCATCGCAGATGTCCTCCTTCAAGAGACCACGTTTTTACCCTCAGGCAGTCTGGACCTTCACCTGCAATAGTCCTGCATGTGGACACTTAGAGGGTTGATTTAAGTTATTATTGATATTTCAAAAAGACATCCTCCTATTGTTCTCAACTTTTTACTTTATCATTTATTTGTTTCATTTTTAGTAATTATTTGTAATGTTTTCAATTTTTATATATTTATTATTTGATTGGAGTTTTCTTTTTTCTTTAATTTTTCCATTTATTGTAAAATCGATTTGAATTATATTTTAATATTTTTTGTTAATAATTATTTTGTAACTAGTTTTCATGTTTTTATTTTTTTGTAATTTTGATTAGAAATTTTATTTAGATTCAAGATCCGTGTGACGTCACGGAGCCACAGACTCTCTTCAGTCTGACCATGGGGGGGGTGGGGGGCGTGGTGGGGGAGGGGTTAAACCGCACTGTCGTGATCGTTGCTAATTGACAGCGTAATTAAGGAACACTGGACGTCATTATCGGTCCCCCCCCCGCCCCCCCCCCGCCCCCCTTCAGATATCTATAAATATTGATAATGTCTCCCACATCTTTATCCATGGATTTGGTGAATTTGGGCTGGATGAAGGGGGCCTCTCTTGCCTCGCGCGCACATGATCGCCTCATAGGGGGGGGGGGGGGGGGGGGGGGGGGCACCCCCCCTTTTTTTTTTTTTTTTTAACCCCCCCCCCCCCCCCCCCTTTTTTCCCCCCCAGAGAGGGGGGGGGGAGTCTTGGTAGTGTTCTAAACGCCGCGCTTGTTCTTTAAATACGGGGCGGAGAAGCAAGAAGAAAAGATCCCCCCCCCCCCCCCCCCCCCCCCCCACACGTCATGTGACTCTCCACACACACACACACACACACACATACACGCGCGCGTGCTCGTAGGTCACTCTGAGACACTCTTTGAGTCAGACTTGTGGAGTCACGTGACCACGAGGTGAAGCAGCGTCTTTTCTCTCTTCAGACTTTAGAGGAAAAAGTGACATTTAAGTTTGTGTTTCATCCCTTTAATCATCTCGTGATCCCGCAGATTTATAAGGAAATGTTTGCTTCTCCTCAACGGGTCATTTTTGCCAAACTAGATATCCTATTTTTATATATTTATACATATACATAGAAATAGATAATATAGATATTATAGTGTAGAAATACTCTGGTACAAGTAAATGTATTCGAATGTAAAAGTATGACTCGTGACCAAAAGCAGAAGTAATGAAGCACACTTCAATTGTAAAGTTTAGGGACATTAGGGGACTTTTTGTCCTCTCATTAAACAAAGCATCCTTCCTTGTGTGTTTTATGCAGGTGATGTCTTTACACGGTGGTACATCACACAGATACATGTATACACACGTATGTATAAATGTGTATACATGTATATACTTCCTCTCAGATCACAGAGTGTCTCTGAGATCACAGCAGCAGTTTGGTCTCAAAGCGCCGCAAGCTAACGGGAAGTTCTTCACACCCGGTTGGACACGGGTCCCCGAGGTCTGAGGACTCCTGGTCTGGGTGAGGAGAGACCTCCCTCTGAGGGGGGGCGGCTGATTGGTCGCTGGTCTCTCAGAGTCTTTCTCGTAAATATTTATTCATAAATAACTCAAATGTGTTTCCTGTCCGTGAAATCCATTTCACTCAAATCCAATGAGACGGGATTTTATTTACTATCGTACATCTTCTGACTCCTCACCAGCTGATGCACACTGTGTGTGTGTGTGGACCACTGGAGGTCCTGCTCCTCTGGGTTAGATGATATCACACCATGTACATCCTCTATCACAGTAAAAGTACTAATACCACAACATGAATACCCTCTGATATCTGATGATAGTTTACATGACACGTCAGAAAAACGAGGAGCATTAGAGGTCCAACTATAGTCTCCTCCACCATCTAGTGGACCTGTGGTGACCACGGATCCACTAGAGGTCAGCAGAGGTCCACTGGAGATCCATTAGAGAGAAAAGACAACAACACATTGGACACATTTCTAAATGTTGTTGTTATTATTATGAATTAGAAATATTATGTTATATAACATCAGTTCTCCTGGTTCCTCCTCTGGATCAGACCTCTGGGCCTTCTCATCCGATCGAGATGATGATGCAATCTCCATTATCAGTCAGGAACATGAAGAACATCTGATCTCTGATGGGAGCTTCTTTAGGCTCAACTCACAGAAACGATGAATGACTCCATGAAGGGTTGTTTGGTCTAATCCCGATTAGAGTAAAGAGAAGAAGAGATTTACTCTGATTATCACTATGTGTGACTTAATAATTCATAACTTTACCCGATGAAAAGTTCCATCCATCCGTTGTCAAACCGCTTATCCTGCACACAGGGTCGCGGGGGGGCTGGAGTCCATCCCAGCCAACTTCGGGCGATAGACAGGGTACATCCTGGATTGGTCGCCAGCCAATCGCAGGGCTACACAGAGACAGACAACCATTCACACTCACATTCACACATCTACGGGCAATTTAAAGTCCCCAATTGACCTGATCCCCAGCGCATGTCTTTGGACTGTGGGAGGAAGCCGGAGAACCCGGAGAGAACCCACGCAGACACGGGGAGAACATGCAGACTCCACACAGAAAGGCCACTGGGCGGAATCGAACCCAGGACCTTCTTGCTGTGAGGCGACGGTGCTGACCACCACGCCACCGTGCCGCCCCTCGATGAAAAGTTATGAATTATATTATATTAATTATTCTGCATAATGAGTTATTTTATTGCACTTTAAACTTTCTCAGAGTAACTTTAATCTCCTCAAATAAATGGACCTGAAGCTCTGGTGAGTCTCAGGGAACCAGTCCCTCGATGTGGTCCAGACCCTGAGACCGCTTCCATATACGTGGACCAGGCCTCGTCCTGATGTGGACCAGATCCCGTCCTGCCTTGTCCCTGCATTAGGATCCGTCCTGGTCCCTGGATGTGGATCCGTCCTGGTCCCTGGATGTGGATCTGTCCTCGTCCCTGCATGTGGATCTGTCCTCGTCCCTGGATGTGGATCTGTCCTGGTCCCTGCATGTGGATCTGTCCTCGTCCCTGGATGTGGATCTGTCCTGGTCCCTGCATGTGGATCTGTCCTCGTCCCTGGATGTGGATCTGTCCTGGTCCCTGCATGTGGATCTGTCCTCGTCCCTGGATGTGGATCCGTCCTGGTCCCGCCTCTGCCAGGGGGCGTGTCCCCGCGCGGAGGGCGGAGCCCCGCACCCCCGTTCATTGGACAGGGAGCGCAGGTAGACAACAAGCCGCCCAGCTCGTCCTCCTCGGGACCCGGATCACTCGACTTTATTCCCCTCGTTGCTCCCACATGAACCCGGGTCGGCCCGCGGATCTGGGACCAGCAGACCGGGACCGAAGACCCGCGTTCCGACATGGAGATCGAAAGCATCATGGCCAACAACTCGCTCGTTAAAGCCAGAGAGGGTAAGAGGTCCACTTCCACTCATTCAAATGGCTCCGGGTTCTAGAGGAACCTCCAGATGTTTGTCCAGGGTTCGTGAGGCAGGATGACGGATGAGAAACTGACCTCGGATCAGCTTCATTTAACGTTTAATATCCTCATGCAGAAATGAAACACAGGGACGTTTTACGTTGTCTGCTGCGTGGACACACACACACACACACACTTTGTGTAGTTGCGTTGTGCAGGTGCGCGCAGCTATGCGGTCACAGTACCTGTTCCTGCGCCTATAAATAGCTCCGCGCACTATTGTCTGTGAACGCGGTGAACGAGTCACCCTGTGCGTCCTGTTCCTGCAGGCGGGGGGGGCAAAGGCCGCAGCCTCAAATGGAGAGACATGCTGCGCTTCTCTCACGTGACTCGCTGCGCGGACCTGGGGATAGGTGCGTGCGTGTGCGTGCGTGCGTGACAGACATCCATACGTGCTGTGTGGCGGGCGCACGGGTTCACATGTCCTCTGTCTTCCATCAGCTCGGGACTACCTCCACCTGTGTGTGGAGCAGCCCATCGGGAAGAAGCTGTTCCAGCTGTTCTGCCGGAGCCGCCCGGACCTGCAGAACTACATCTCAATGCAGGACGCCGTGGTACCGACACGCGCACCATGTACATATATGTGCCATGTGAGGGGGCATCAGGCTTTTAAAACTAAAACATCAATGGAATAACTAAAGATGTCAATTACAAAACCAAACGGTCTAGAATTCTATTTCTGTCTCTGATTTCACAACATGTACTCAAGAAGTTGGCCGTTGACCAACTTTTGTTTTGGAGGAAGAAGAACGAAGGCGGAAACCACTTTTAAATAAATGCCCGTGATGCTAAAACGCACATCGTTCTTTTCCAGCGTGAATAAACACAAATGAAACTTTCATTGATGCGTCTGCTGAATGTCTGACCTGTGCACCGCTTCCCCTTCGTCTCCTCCAGGACGCCTTCCAGACCAAGTCGGATGAGGAGAGGAGAGATTTCGGCTTCCGCATCATTCAGAGATTCCTCTGGAGTCAGGTATGACCGCGACGCAGAGAACACGCACACGCAGACACACACACTTCCCGTGCTGATGTCTCGGCCCGTGTCCCCTCAGTCCAATCAGTGCGTGTCCATCGTGCAGCATCACGAGCAGAGCTGCCTCCGGAGTCTGGAGCTCGACCCCTGCATGGACGTCTTCCACGAGTGCACGGAGTGAGTTCTCACGTGCACTCTTTTCTGTAATGTGTGTGTGTGTGTGTGTGTGTGTGTGTGCACGTACACCAACCTGTCTGTTGTGTCTCAGGAACCTCCACCAATACCTCAGTGGAGAGCCGTTCCTCCAGTACCAGGACAGCATGTTCTTCGACCGCTTCCTACAGTGGAAGATGCTGGAGAGGTCAGTGTGTGTGTGTGTGTGTGTGTGTGTGTGTGTGTGTGTGTGTGTGTGTGTGTGTGTGAGAATCTGTGCCACGTTAAAAAAAGACATGAAGCGGTGTTTGTCCTGCAGGCAGCCGATCACCAAGCAGACCTTCAGGCAGTACAGACTTCTGGGGAAAGGAGGCTTTGGAGAGGTGAGCTGCTCACATCCAAGTCCAACACTGTGATATGGACCTGTCAATCAGCGGTTAGTCCCGCCCTGAGACCAGAAAACTAGAGACTGAGACCATGAACTCATGTTTACAATGTTTACTGAGGGAATAAATCAAGAGAGAAGTAGAGTCATTTCCTCATAGACGTCTATGGGAGCAGAGGAGTCGCCCCCTGCTGGTCACTACAGAGAAGTAGAGTGAGAAGTAGAGTCATTTCCTCATAGACGTCTATGGGAGCAGAGGAGTCGCCCCCTGCTGGTCACTACAGAGAAGTAGAGTCATTTCCTCATAGACGTCTATGGGAGCAGAGGAGTCGCCCCCTGCTGGTCACTACAGAGAAGTAGAGTCATTTCCTCATAGACGTCTATGGAGCAGAGGAGGTCGCCCCCTGCTGGTCACTACAGAGAAGTAGAGTCATTTCCTCATAGACGTCTATGGGAGCAGAGGAGTCGCCCCCTGCTGGTCACTACAGAGAAGTAGAGTCATTTCCTCATAGACGTCTATGGGAGCAGAGGAGTCGCCCCCTGCTGGTCACTACACAGGATGCAGCTTTAACACGTGAAGCTTTGACTTCTGTCCCCATCGTAATTATTGGTCCTAAACGTGTCCCCTCTTTGTCCCCCAGGTGTGGGCGTGTCAGGTGAGGGCCACAGGAATGATGTACGCCTGCAAAAAGCTGAATAAGACTCACGTGAAGAAGAGGAAGGGCGAGACCATGGCCCTCAACGAGAAACAGATCCTGGAAAGGCTGAACAGCAGATTTGTGGTGAGATTTCTTCATCACTTCCCTGAAGAACACACTTCTGTTTAATAAGTACAGTGAGTAGTACGGGAGTATTTGATAGTGTTTGTGTTTTAGTACATCTTCAGTAACAAGGATGTTAGACAGGAAGTGAACTCGTATCTTGTGGCTTTTGGGTCTTCACACCTCCACGTGCACCTCCTGCTTCTCCCTCCAGGTGAACCTGGCGTACTCCTACGAGACCAAGCACGCGCTCTGCATGGTTCTGACCATGATGAGCGGCGGCGACCTCAAGTACCACATCCACAGCATCGGCGCCCCGGGTCTGGAGGAGGACCGCGCCCGCTTCTACGCCGCCGAGGTCTGCTGCGGTCTGATCCACCTCCACCAGAACGCCATCTTATACCGGTCAGGATGGGCCACACACAGGACTGCTGGGACAAAGACTGCTGCTAGGACAAAGACTGCTAGGACAAAGACTGCTAGGACAAGTTATGCTTTTAGGACAAAGACTGCTAGGACAAGTTATGCTGCTGGGACAAAGACTGCTAGGACAAGTACTGCTGCTAGGACAAAGACTGCTAGGACAAGTACTGCTGCTAGGACAAGTACTGCTGCTAGGACAAAGACTGCTAGGACAAAGACTGCTAGGACAAGTTATGCTTTTAGGACAAAGACTGCTAGGACAAGTTATGCTGCTGGGACAAAGACTGCTAGGACAAGTACTGCTGCTAGGACAAAGATCCCGCTAGGACAAGTACTGCTGCTAGGACAAAGACTGCTAGGACAAGTTATGCTATGTAAGTGCTGCTGGGTAACAAAGTATTGATACTACACAGAACCTAGAAGCGTCCAGTAAATCTGTATATCCTCCGAAGTAGAAGGACTAAAGTACCTCACACTTGTACTGCACTTAATTAAATGTATTTAATGATTTTTATAAATGAGCCTGTTGTGCCCTTTGACCTCCAGGGACCTGAAGCCGGAGAACATTCTGCTGGATGACCTCGGTACGTATGTACACGTGTCTTTACATTTAGAACATTCCACCGAGCCGGCCCGGGGCTCCGCTATCTTTAGCTCTGATAATCGGTCCAGCTGATCTAACAACAACCGCTTCGGGTCGAGCCAGACGGCCGCGGTGACGGAGGCGGGTGGAGGAAGTAAAATAAAAAAAAAAGGCGGGGACCAGGTGTGGTGTCTATTTTAAGAAAGAATTCTCTGCACCTGTTGCTTCATTCCTGGAGATGTAGAAGTGCCTTTTGTTTGCTGTGATAATTATGAATGACAGATCAGGGCTGTCACATGGTCGCTGTGTGTGTGTGTGTGTGTGTGTGTGTGTGTGTGTGTGTGTGTGTGTGTGTGTTCCAAAGGAAAGTACGTCATAATTACTGCGGTTTGGTTTTCCCCTGAAGGACACATCCGCATCTCTGACCTGGGCCTCTCGGTGAGGGTCTCCAGGGGCAGCGCGGTGCGCGGCATGGTGGGCACGCTAGGATACATGGGTAAGAATCTGTGTGTAGTGAGACAAAAACTATTTTTTATGTCTTTGTTTTTTTTATTTCTTAGCTTAAAAACAGGTGAAGAAATATATTTTACCAGTTTATTTGATTTATTGTTTTGTAAAACTAGTTTCTGGAACCTTAACGCAGCCTCGCGTTGAGAGTTTGGAGACTCACGTCGGCCTCTAGTGGGCGACACGAGTACTACAACAACAAACTCAAAAGGAACCTTCATAACTTCACGCTTCTTCAGGGGATATTAAAAGGAATATCCTGCTTTTACTGCTATTCTTCAAACGTCAACGTCGGAAGGAAAATAATATAGAAAAGGGACCAGGGATCCGTGTAATCCTCCACACGCTTATATTTGGGGAAATAATCTGTTATTATTAAACTCCAAATGGTCTTATTTTTGATTGATCTCCTCTCAGCCCCCGAGGTGATCAGCCGGCGTCCCTACGGGGTGAGCGTGGACTGGTGGGGGCTCGGCTGCCTCCTCTACGAGATGACGGCGGGGCGGCCCCCCCTCCACAAGCAGGGGGAGCACCTCAACCCCCCCGAGATGGAGCGAAGGATCCTGAAGCAGGAGCCGGAGTACGGAGACAAGTTCAGCGCAGAGGTGAAGGACCTCTGCTCCTCGGTGAGTCCAGGGGGGTCAGAGCCGCGGACCTGCTCCTTCTTCAGGGGTTCTGACGCATCTCCTTATTCTTCTGTGGTGAAACCGGTCATCAAGGACCCTCTGCGGAGGCTGGGCTGCCGACCTCCGGGGGAGGAGACGTGACGTCGCATCCCTTCTTCAGAGGGGTCAACTTCCGGATGCTGCAGGCCGGACAGGTGGAGCCGCCCTTCAAGCCCGACGTGAGTGGACCCGCGAGGAGGGAGCCCGAGTACGCGGGAAGTGTACTTCCTGTTAGCTGTGTGTACTTCCTGCTTCCTGTGTGTACTACCTACTTGTTTTGTGTACCTAACGCTTGCTGTGTGTACTTCCTGTATGTACTTAATGGCCGTTGGGTATACTTCCTGTGTGTACTTACTTGCTGGGTGTACTTCTTATGTGTACTTACTTGCTGGGTGTACTTCCTGTGTGTACTTACTTGCTGGGTGTACTTCCTGTGTGTACTTACTGCTTGCTGGGTGTACTTCCTGTGTGTACTTACTTGCTGGGTGTACTTCCTGTGTGTACTTACTGCTTGCTGGGTGTACTTCCTGTGTGTACTTACTGCTTGCTGGGTGTACTTCCTGTATGTACTTAATGGCCGTTGGGTATACTTCCTGTGTGTACTTCCTGCCCGCTGGGTGTACTTCCTGTATGTACTTAATGGCCGTTGGGTATACTTCCTGTGTGTACTTACTTGCTGGGTGTACTTCCTGTGTGTACTTACTGCCCGCTGGGTGTACTTCCTGTGTGTACTTACTGCTTGCTGGGTGTACTTCCTGTGTGTACTTACTGCCCGCTGGGTGTACTTCCTGTGTGTACTTACTGCCCGCTGGGTGTACTTTCTGTGTGTACTTACTGCCCGCTGGGTGTACTTCCTGTGTGTACTTACTGCCCGCTGGGTGTACTTCCTGTGTGTACTTCCTGTGTGTACTTACTGCCCGCTGGGTGTACTTCCTGTGTGTACTTACTGCCCGCTGGGTGTACTTCCTGTGTGTACTTAATGGCCGCTGGGTGTACTTCCCCCTGCAGCCCAGACTAGTGTTCTGCACCGGACGTCCAGGACATGAAGGAGTTCTCCTCGGTGAAGGAAGTCATTTTGGACCAGAAGGACAACGATTTTTACGCCAAGTTCAGCACAAGAAAGCAACCCAATACCGTGCAAGAGCAGGGTACGGCGTGTCCGAGCGGCGCCATGGCGTCTGTGCAGAGCCCACAAAGCTCACTGTGCCCCCCCCCCAGATCATCGAGACGGGATGCTTCAGGGAGCTCAATCAGTTCGGTCCAAATGGATCTCGATCTCCGGACCTCGACTGGTCCCTGAACCCAGAGATCCCCAAACGCAGCCTGCTGGACCGACTCTTTGGCAAACAGGTGAAAGTATACAACTGTAGTACAAGTACCACAACCACACTGAGAATACACTCTACTTAAGTCTACGTGGCAGCTAAATGCCTTTAAAGTAAAAGTAGACGAGTATAATGTATTCTGATGATGTACCTCTGAGATGTAGTATTTAATGAACGTCAGTGGCTGAATACTTCTTCTCTCACAGCATCATGAGGAAAGCAAACAGGCGTTGGTGACCAACGGAACCACCAAGTACACACTCTGATGGGGCGCAGAGACAGAGACACGTTTCTTTGTGTTTTTCTATTTTCTACATCAATGATTGATTTTTGAATTTGTATAAAATGAAGACTAAGTACTTCCTTTTTGATACAAGTAGCACAGAATATCAGCCCCCCCTTGATGCACCGTTTGAACCCAAGTGGCTCAATAAAGAGTTTTTTATTTTAAATGTGTGTTGTTTCATGAGTTTTCATCCACGTGCGTCATCTGATCCTTTGGGGTCCCGTTGTGAACGTACGGATGCAGGTTGTCACGGTAACGTCCCTCATCGGCCTGTGGCGGGTTTAAGGTTTGCTGCAGCCAGCGTGTCTCGTCTCCTCTTCATGGTCTGTTTGACTCTAAATGGACCATAAGTCACTAAATGAACATCATGCTGTGTTGAAGACTTGAAACTAGAGACTGAGACATAAACTCATGTTTACAACGTTTACTGAGGGAATAAATCAAGAGTCATTTGCAGATTGTAATAAGGTGTTAATTCTTTGTACCGAACGGGAACCATTTCTCAATTTAGTTACTATTGTGGAACAATTTTGGTAAGAGATTTATCCTCAATTCTTAAAAGTAATAAACATGTATTAATATTAATACTTTCTCTTCAACTTCTGAACATTTAATTTGCTTTAAGTACCAGTCACAAGTTTAAGACTTGTGGTACTGGTACTGTATTGTAATATTTTGGTTTAGTCTCCTTTGACTTCAATACACATTGATAACATTTGTTTAACATAATTATCAAGGCTTTAACTTTAAAATCCACAATTCATGAAAGAGCTCAACTTTGTCCATTTACTATTTATTTATTTAACCAGGAGTAAAAAACTGTAAAATAAAACGAGCAAAAAGAGACGGGGAGACAAATCGGGGGGGGGGGGGGGGTCGTCTCTACAGACACTACGCCTTTAGTTTCATCACCTTTTAACCTTTAACTTCCCGTCTGTGAAACACGAGTCCTCTGAGCCGCAGGGGACTGATTTTACATTTGTGTCATTTGATGGTGGGGGGACAGGGGGGGACGGGGGGCTCATCCCTCCCACGGGGGGCTGCGTCGTCCGTCCACGTCCGTCTCCACGTGGAACAGCATGTCAGCCAGCGTGTGCTCGATCACGGCGCCCGAGCCCATGTCGCTCATCTGAAGACGACAGCAGCAGCAACGGGAGGCCGGAGGGTTAATCGCCTGGCGGCTCACCGGGGGGGGGGGGGGTATGTTTGTATTTAAAGGATATGATTCCTCTCACCGGCTGGTACTTGAGGTCTTTCGGCGCGTGTCTGAAATGAGGCCCAAAGTTGACCGAAACCTGCAGAGAGAAAGGGGGGGGGGTCAAAGGGGAAAGGGGGGGGGGTCAAAGGGGGAAAGGGGGGGGGTCAAAGACTCAGGCGAAGAAGCAGAACAGATCCCGACGCGTCGCACTCACCGTGCAGCTCTTGTAGAGGGAGATGGCGGGGAAGTACATCCCCTCGTACAGGTTGTCATAGGCGACGCCCTGACTCACGCCATTTTTAAAGAATATTATCTGAAGAAACAACACAACAGGAAGTTAGGAGCAGCAGACACAGCGGGGGGGTTATGACTGCATCTTCTTCCTGACCCTGCTGGAGCTCATGGACTTCAGGCTCTTCTCCGCTTTGTCCACGTAGTCCTTCTCCTCGAAGTACAGGTAGCTCTTGAACTTGATGAGCGCCTAAAAGAGAAGCGAGTTTCAACGATGACGACAAGTCTACTGTTTATAAAACACTTGATGTCCTCTTCTGTCTACAAGTCCTCCACCTCTGGGACGAGACGGGAAGTCCTCACCTTGTCCTTGTAGGTGTCCGGCAGCGCCTTGGCCGTCTCCGTGGCGTCCGGCAGCTGGATGAAGAAGCCCAGCGTGTCTCCCTGGCCGTAGCCGGAGGAGTAGCTCTTCCCGATCGACTGGTGGAACCGCGTCCCCTTCTTGCTGCGCCACGAGTAGCTGAACTTGTCGTAGCCGAGAGGCGCCTGGAGGTTTCCTGCAACGAAGGGTCGTTCTTATCAACACATCGGCACCCTCACGTAGAGCGATGAGTCACAGCGGCATTCTGTGCAGTGACCAGCAGGGGGCGGCTCCTCTGCTCCCACAGAGCACTAAGCGGGACGCTCATTTGGTGAAGGAGGCGCCCTGCTGGTGAGCAGAGAGAATGCGGCTTTGGTTCCGGGAGGCGCAGCACCCACCGAGCGGCTGAGACCACCCGAGCCTGGCTGCCGTGTCCGGCGGCATCTCCTCCACGGTGACCTCAAAGTACCAGGAGCCCTTGCGGATGCCGTGGGAGGCGCGCACCATGGAGTAACCCTTCTCGCCGGTCACCGTCAGGCGGTCGTCGGAGATCTTCAGCTGCGGCGCTGCAACGCGAGCAAAAGAAACTCCTTATAGATGAACGGGATTCATGACGCTGAGAAAAGGCCTCATGTGGACAGATTCCACCACGGAGCAGTGGACGTTACATCCATCTGTGTCCCCGTCTTGTTGCCGTACCTCGGTCGTGCAGCGCCAGCAGCACGCGCTCGTACAGACACGCCCTGTACAGGTCGCCGGGGATCGGCTTGCCGGCCCAGCAGTCCAGCTCCAGCTTATCGGGGTCCGGGGCGTGCGGATCCGGGTTCCGCCAGGATGTAGCGGTACCCGTCTTTGTTAAAGGGGTGCTCTAGTGGGTCAGTCGAGAGGGGGAGGCGCTGGGCCGAGAACAGGGGTCGCTGTAGAGGAGGGGGGGGGGGGTCACGTTAGTTATATTATAACGGTGTCTAAAGAAACGAAACTCTGGATTTCCCCTCCTCATACTGTGTGTGTGAGGGTCTCCTACCTTCGGGGTCTCTTGGTGGCTCCGGCTGCAGAAACCTCCTGTTGCTGCTGCTGTTTACGTTTGGGCCCTCCGTCCTTTAACGGGGCCAGGAGCCAACGCGCCTTAAAGAGACACACGAGTCACGTTAGGCTCACAAAGACACACACACACACACACACACACACAGGCACACACACACACACACACACACACTAAAAAGGCAGAAGCAGGAATTAGTGAACGTGGCTGTTTGTTCGGCCTCAGAAACATAAGATTCTTAAACAAGTGCAGTTATTCCACAATATGCAGAATAACCAAAGAACCACGTTGAATCCACAGCTTGAGATATTAACACATTCAAATTAAACATTTAGCTCTTCAGACATTGATCTGAAAGGTGAGTGATTGAAAAACAATCCTGTTTAAGTTTATTTGCTTAAATGAGATTTCTTCTTCTGCTCTTAAGTGAATGTTACGTTAATTCAATTATCACAGGATTTATGTGGTTTGGACGTTATGAATTAAATGATGATGATTACGCTGCTGAGAGGAGGATTATATTAAGAGATTACATTCAAATTTCTGGTAGTAATAAACTGAAATTAGTATATTTTATTATCCTCAGAATGCAGATGACTGATGACTAATAATAATAATAATAACACTGATTTCCTTGTTTCTTGAAATATTTGAGTCCTCCACAGAAAAAAAAGACTTATTTACTCTCGTTAAAGTACAGTAGCCGTGAAATGCTAAGCTACGACGAGGCTAGCTAGTTAGCATCGGATAAAGGAAGCCAATGGCAGCAAGGCAGAGACGAGGGGTCCGTCCACTGGTCACAGGGGGCAAAGCTTGTGGGGAGTGTGGGGGGGCAAACACAAGCAGAGAGCAGACAGGCGGGGGGGTGAGGGGGATGAAGTTGCCCTCGAGATGCTTATTGGAAAACCTCAGGGCCAACTTCTATCCGGGGGGGGGGGCAGGGGCAAGACACAAAAACAGATCAGCCCCAGAGGCCAAAAAGCACCGAATATTCACCTGAGAAGGAGGATCCACCTGGAAGAACAACCACAAGACGACCAAGGTCACCACACACGCAGAGACGCACACCCGCAGGTTACGCCCACGTCCTGAAAGCTGCCCTTTAACAACCAGGGCGCTGCATTCGCTCGCCTGGCAGCGCCGTTACAAGCACGCTTTTTACACCTCTGTGTTTTTATATTTTAATCAGGATGAAGGATTTCACCCGCTAAGTTATGGGCGCTGCATTGAAAGAGGAAAACTCCCATGATGCCGCGCTGCATGAGATGCACGTCCGTCTCACCGTTCAGGCCTCCGGCCGCGGGCGCAGCGCTGGTCTGCTTCTGTGAGTCGTACGAGGGTCCGATGGTCCCCAGGTCCTACAGGAGAGAAGAAGCCACGACATCATAAACCAACATCCTCCTGCTCCTCTTCCTCCTGCTGCTCCTTCTCCTCCTCCTCCTCCTCCTCCTCCTCCTGCTCCTCCTCCTCCTGCTGCTCCTCCTCCTCCTGCTGCTCCTCCTGCTGCTGCTCCTCCTCTTCCTCCTCCTGCTCGTACCTGGTCCAAAAGGCCGAACTTGGGGTACTCCTCCTCCGGGTCTTTGCTGCCGGGGTCCGGGTGCTCCTTCACCAGGAACACGTCCCGCTCTTTGCTCTGGAAATAAGTAATAAAAGGATGAATATAGTGAGCGAGGGAAAGTCAACTAGTACATTATTCAAGTACTTTAACTTTACGTATTTAGATACTTTATCTCATTTTAAATCACATCAATATAACCATCACACTGACTGGAGCCTTTAAGGGCACTTTGATGCTAAACTTCAGCGATCTCATTTTGTAGATTATTTCTGTCCCGCAGAGTCGCTTCATTTGCAGCCAAATTATTTTAAGAGATTAAACGTGTTTCACGTGACGGATTCTAACAAACATCTTCTACTGAAAACGGAAGGTCACCATCGCCTTGACGATGTTGTTGGGCCACGTGAGCTTCCCGGGTCTCTGGCGGGTCGTCATGCACTCCCAGTACTTATCAATGAAGGGGATGATGTCCTGCAGGGAGACGAGGGAAATATTTCAATTTAAGTTCATTCTCCTGGTGTTTCAAGCAGCAAGAATAAAAACTGAAATAATGTATTTTAAAGTCACTTTATTAACTTCTAAAGGGCAGAACGTCTCAGGAAGACGAGAGAAGCATCATTAGATACAATGAATGTGATGCGAGTAGGGAGAGAACATCCATTCTATTGACCATTTAAAAGGAGAATCAGCGTGTTCAACAATAAATATTATATTAAATAATTAAATATTAATATAAACATTAAATATATTATGGCTTTGTTAGGAGGAAAACACTGGTGTCAGTAATCTGTCCTCATGCTGCATGGATCTCTCCTTCATACTGAGGATTACGCTGTACTTCCTTTATTCACGCACACGACCGCCGCTCGTCTCGTGACGGAATATTTCCTGAGACGGAAACTCTCCTTCAGACCCCACCGACCTGAATCAGAGCGCTCTCCGTCTCTGCCCCACCTTGTCTTTGGGGAACATCGTCTTCGGGTGCTCGTCCTGCGTCCTGGACCTCCACGTCAGGTTGGCGAGCGCCGTGAGGCACATCTCCTTCAGGTCTGCACGGAACAAAGACCATCAAACACAGCGCGGGAGACGGAGGACGGCGCGTGAAGGCCGCTTCCACCTACTGGCTTGTTTCCGGAGGAAGTAGGTGTTGCCGCTGTGGTGGCACACGTTGCAGTGGAACACGTAGTTGGTCATGAAGGGCAGACAGGTCCTGTGGGGGAGAACAACAGCTGTTCAATCAATGTCATAATAAAAACAGGCGGGATGTCAAATGGTGCTCAGCTACATATCAGCAATACATTTCACCTGCTGAGGTTTGGATTATTCAAACTAAATCTGGCTGAAGGAGAATTACATCTACATACAGATCACGTTTGTTTGCCATATCTGTACATACAAAGAGGATTATTATGGGCTTTATAGGCAATAAAAATAAATGTCAGTTCATAAAAATGGTAAAAAAAACAGAATCAACCCCTTTCTCGTCCTCCCAGTAGGTTTATTTGGCAAAGAAGACGACGGACCGAAGGGATTATTTTTACCATAAAGTGTTATGATTAACTGGTAAGTGTTAAAATGATGATGATTTGTGTGGATGTCGACAGTGCCGCGTGTGCCACGTACGCCGTGTCGATGGCGAACGTGTCGGCGGTGAACCACTTCATGCACAGCGCACACTGCAGCTCCACGTCGCCCAGCTGCCGCCCGCTCTCCTCGTCCCCGGAGCCCGTCAGAGCGTCGGCGGCCTCCGACCCCTCGCCGGCGGCTTCCTTGGGACGGAAAACAGCATTTACAGGACGGGCGTCAGCACGGAGGAGGAGGAGGAGGTGGTGATGAAGAGGAAATAAACGCGCGTTACCATTCCCTCTTTGCCGCCGGGTGACTCCGTGTCCACGCTGGCGGGAAGTTCTCTGAACGCAGCATCACTGACGACCAAAGGAGAGATCAGTGAATTAACTCATCTGAGATGGAACTTCATGGGTTTAGACTCTCAGCAGTTTATGGAGCTCTGCACGTTTAAGTGATGAACACAGGAATATAATAAGACGAATACTCTGTATATCCCTCATACACACTATTGTGAAATGGGCCATTCTGCATGTGGACATTTGTACTTGCAGGACGCGTAGCAGAGTCTTTCTGCAATGAGGTATTAGTACTTTAGTACACGCTCTGAATACTTCCAGAGTTTATTTTTTATATCCATCCCGCACGCCGGACAAACACCGTGTTTTGGACTCGACCTGCATCCACGGGGACCTGCGAGGACCGACAGGTCCACACGCCGCCCGGCAGGCGGGTACAATACGCGGATGTTCGCGCCTCACAAAGGGTCGAGGTTCTCTACGGCGCGCTAACGTTAGCTAGCCGGTTTGCTAACTTCATTGTCAATGTGAATGAGGCTCTTAATGCTGCGTGTCGTCAGAAGCAGAAAGACGATGAAACACGGGTCCCAGGACCGGCACATACCCGTCCCCGGTGTCCGGTTCCGTTGTGGCTGCACTGGCCGCGTCTGCTTCCGACGCCATGTTTTCAAACCGAAGGGAAAAGCGTCCGCGCATCAACTTCCGGGTTGCGGGAGCGGCTCCGCCCACAGCGCCGCCGCCGGCCAACGGGCGAACTGCACCCTGTGGCCGCCATAAAGGGTTTATTAAAATATTCTAATTATCCTGTGCAGTTAATTAGAAATGATCACACACTTAACAATAATATGCTGCATTTCTTTCTTCCCAATAAATTCATTCAGATTTATTCAGTTCAAAGGATGTTAGAATAAATATGGAATGATTCATGTAACAGGATGTGGAAATTTGGGTGGAAATTATAGAATACAATAACACTGTATCCAATCTGGAGACATAGAACATGTGAAGATTTAGATTTTAATATTCAGCAAACAAATCAAGCTGTTGGATAGAATAAAAATCGGCTTAATATATGTATATTTATAAGGACTTTATAATAAGGACAGACGTGATGCTTTTACAAACATTTATTCAGCTCTGAATCAGAAACTTGAAGAAAATCCTCTCACGTAGGAACAGAATAGAATATTTGTCATGAATTCAAGTAATGAATTTCCTCTTGATAAGTGCTTAACATTTTGCATTCCCACTTGATTCTCAACAGCCAATCAGCTCCAGCGTTACTAGATGTGTATGAATGTTTAAGTAATACACGTATCAACGCTCCTGCTCATCAGATGTTTGATTGTCTCCTTCGACCTCCACATTTCCATGAGCTGTTGACAAAGTAAAGAGCGATGTACAACATAAAGAGGGGCTTTGTGTTGTGAGACCACCCGGCACGCTCTGAAAGTCAAACATCGTTTAAAAGTCTTCTTTTTTGTGGGGGTCAGGAAACCAGAAAAGAGACGAAAAGCACAAAAGTCAGAGTGTGCCAGAAGACGTCCCACAAAGAGCCGTGGAATGCTGAGGGCACCCCCGGGTGCTGCCATAAAGGCCTTTAGGGCGTCGTTAGAGGGGGTGATGGTGGCGTCTCCTCCTCCTCTTTCCTCCTGATGGAGGACACACATCTGTAGAGCCGGGACACCAAGTTATGAACATTATTTACCATCTGACCACTGGTTTGATCTTTCATAATAACCGTCTTTCTTCTGCTTAAAGAAAAGGGACAAAACAACAGGGAACAAAACTACGTCACTTTCTTCTTACTACGTCCAGATCCAGTAAAGAATGTGAGAAAAACCTCCCGCTGTCTTCCCTCCTCATGAGAGTCCTCATCACGCTGCATCCTGACACCAGGCCGCAGTTCACTGGTCCTCTCGTCGACTTCTGTTACAAGATCCTTCTTGTACACACACACACACACACACACACACACACACACACACACACACCCTCTTGTGCCGCGGACACAAAGCTCCAGGTCGGAGAAGGTCAAACCCTACCGGGGACATCTGCTAATTGTCCTGATGGGCCGGCCTCTCTCGTCCTTTCAGGACCAGCAGCTCCGTAGGAGTCTGTGGATGGCAGCTGCCATCTTCAGGAGTCCTCACCCCCCCCCATGTCCCCCCCCATGTCCCTCCCCGTCTCCCTCCGGAGGAGCATCAGAGTTAATGGAGCTGTCCATTAACCCCGGAGGAGGGAATTAATACTTTCACTCAGAAACTCAAAGTGTTTCTATTGTGGTTCTTCTTCAGTTATCTAATCAATATATTAACTCAACCAGTGATGGTCCACCTGTTGGCGATACATTTATCCTTCTTCTCATCTTCTGTCTTCCTCTTCTTCTTCTGCTCGTCTCGTCCTCTGCTGCTATTCTCCTTCCCTCCAACTGATTTACTTGATCGAATTCTGATCTTTGGCTAAACTACTGATGAGGATTGTTTTAAATCGTTTATTTGTACTTTCACTCAGAAAAGGAATGTGGATTTATTGGCATGAGCGACTTTAAGATGTTGCAATGAATCAATTGAGCAACTCACCTTAGTACATATCTCGTAAATCTCTCTCAGCTAATATGTGGAGATGTTTCAGTGTAAAATAAAGTTGGTATAAAGTTGTGAACTTTGAAGCTTCTTCTCTTGTCTGGTCAGATGCCCTCAGCTTGTTAGTGGACTTCTCATTGAACCGAAAGGCTTTGTGGGGATGCGCGAGACAAAGGGCTCCACTTTCCTTTGATGAGTCCATCAATTAGCATCACAAGGCGCGTTCACGTGTCCTACCAGCGCGCACGTCTCACGTTTGCACGTAATGACAAGACGGACACAAAGCGGAACACGCGGGGAGAGAAAGCGGCTACATTTTAACCAGATGCGCGCTAATAAATAACAAACCCAACGACCCCCCCCCTCCCAACCGCCCCCCCTCGCCGGCAGAGACCACGCATTTGCATCCTGAAGTGCCCCGCGCGCGGGGGTCCCGCGGGGCCGGAGCGTGTCCACATTACGCACGGGACAAAGAGGTTCCAATTGTTCCTCCGCGCGCATCGCTTCACTTGGTAACGTTTTGGACGGTATGTAAATTAGAGCAGCGCAGAGGCGGGTATATAACGACATAAACCCCCGGGAGCAGCCACTCCGACTCCAGCGTGCCAGCCTCGGCCCACAGCGCGCCGACATGCAGCCCCGAGCAGCCAAAGTCCCGCTGGGACACCGGACGCCTTTTTCTGTGGAGGACATCTTGGATCCCACAAGGTTTACGGGGACAAAAGTCTGCGCTGAGGATGCAACAGGTGAGGAACACACTCCCCACGGTCTGGGAATGGGCCTTTCACCCGTCCGTGGAGGATTCACCGAGCTGTACTTTCTTTCAGGAGCTTCTCCTCCTGGAGACGCGAACAGAAAGCAGCCGCCGCGGCCTCCGGAGGAGGCTCCGTGCCCGCCGGAGGGCAAGAGGCGGCGGGTGCGCACCGCCTTCACCGTGGAGCAGCTGCGGATCCTGGAGCGCAGCTTCCGGACGAGCCACTACCTGTCGGTGCTGGAGCGGCACGCGGTGGCCTCGGCCCTGCGCCTCTCCGAGACCCAGGTCAAGATCTGGTTCCAGAACCGGCGCACCAAGTGGAAGAAGGAGCGCGGGAGGGAGGCGCAGGCGGAGGCGGAGGAGGAGGCGAAGGAGGAGCACGGCTTCCCGGCCTCCTTCCTCTCCTCTCTTCTGAGCCGCGCTCCGCTCTGCTGGCGGCCGCGCGCTCCGCTGCAGATGTTCGCGCCGCTGCCGCTCGCGCCTTTCCATCACTATAACGCACGATGAAGGCTGCGCGCGGGATGCGCGTCTCACCAGAACTATTTCAACATCCTCATGATGCAGCACAGCACCGACTTTATATGTTCTAATGTAATTATGCTATAATTTATTTTGATAAACATTTTTATTGAAACTCGTTGGTCCCTTGTTTCGTTTGTTAATGATGATTCTCAAATTCTAAAAATGTGCATTAATCTCTAAATAGGTGTGATTTTGTATATATTACGTTGAGGTGTGTAATTGGGTGACAGCCTGTTTATTGATGAGGGTTCATCCTGCGGTCTGAACCACATAATGGTGATCCTTATATCTTATTATTATATATATATTATATAGTCACATCGCTGAATGTGTTATATTTCCTATTCCATCATCTCAGAGTCAAAGTGCTTTTTTCTGGAAGAAGCTCATTGGTTCCAGTGATTCAAAGAGATGCTTCCTGTCGGACTACAAACGTCCCAGCAGGGGGCGACTCCTGAGTTTATGGTCTTAATCTCACGCCTTCTGGCTTTAGGGCGGGGCTAACCGCTGATTGACAGCTCCCTATCACAGCGTTGGATTAGATGTCAGCATCAGATTTCAGTTATAAGAGTTGTTCAATAAATCTGATCGTCTTACTGCTCTCAGAATGTGTCCTTAAACACAACGTGTTTCTATGACACATCTCTCTCACACACACACACACACACACACACACACACACACACACACACACACACACATCTGCATGTCATTAGCACGCCCTCTGGTCCTCAGTTGACTCTGATCTCCCAAACGTTCCTTAGTTAATTCTTCAGTTAATGTCGTCACATGTGTTTTTTTTTCCGGTTTATATATATGTGTTGGTTTACTAGGTTTTTTAAAGATGACAAATGTTGTTACCAGAAGATGAAAGAGAGATTACAGTAAGGAACTGAGACACTGGAGTTAGACACAAAGACACACACACCAACAGGCAGGACTAGGAGGCAGGACGCAGGAGGCAGGA